GCCAACCAGGTCCGACTTGCTAACACCAACGCCTACATCTTTCAGTTCTGTTTCTCTTTGAGTTCATCCCGACCCCGGTGACATCCTAGCACTAACGCTTTGCCTCCTCCCTTTCTTTTCCTTTATCGTTCTTTTTTTTGCTTTTCTTTTTTTCTTGCAGTTTCTTTTATTCTTTGGTTTTTTAGCCTGTTTTACTTTGGAAAACCAAATCCCAAAGCACCACCAACAACCACGTTCGGCTTTGCACAACTGCGTCATTTGAATTTTTGAACACCTTTTTTTTTTTACAGAGTATTCATACAATGACTTCTCTTTCAATGCAGTCCTCTCTCTCTCTTGTGGCACTAGGATTCAGCCTCAGAAAAGGCCCTGAGCCGTTTTTTTTTAGTGGTAGGTGCAGCATCTCACGTCTCGGTCCAGCCAGGCTAGCGGTGGAAGCGAGGGGCAGGGCGCCAGGCGGAGCGGCGCCAGGCAGAGCATCCCCAGGAAGCGAGGTCAGCTGTGCCAGCCTGGCTGCAGACACCCAGGAGAGCAGGAATACTCCCCAGAGGGGTTTCCAGCGCTCCAGATCTGAGACCAGCCCCGCTGTAGCTGTAGCAGTGTGGTGGCCCTGCAGTAGCCACGGGTCACGGAGGCCCTTGGAGGACTGGGAGTGACAGGACACCTCCAGTAAAGTCTCACCTAAATGAAGGCCATGACACGGGGCAGTATTCAAATAGATTTAGAGTTTCCAACAACACACTAGAGATCTAATTACTTATACATATTCATTTTAGGATAGAAAAAGTGGTAGAGCAGAACCTGACCCTAAAAAGAAAGCCACTTTTAGGTCCATCACCTCCACCCTGGCCTCCAGCTTCAAGAGACGTAGGTCCTCCAAGGATACGGTAAGAGGAAGAAGAACAATTCTGCCCTCTCTCTTTCTCTCTCTTTCTCTCTTCTGCCATCCCATCGACTGCCACACACCCATCCCGAAGCTGCCAGTGTACATGCATAGCTCATGTTCGTCACCAGTCAGTCAGTCAGTGAGTCAGTCAGTCATCCCGTGTACCTGAAAGGATGCTGGGATCCTGGAGGGCAGGCAGAAGGTGGCTTGGAGTCCTGTGATGAGTTGGGAGATGCAACCAAGTTTTTGTTTTGTTTTTTTTTTGTTTTCTTTCTGCCTGGATGATTTCTGATGTTCCTCTCTGTGCTTCGCTCACCTTACTGGTGCTGACCTCTTGAAACCGATGACATTTCCTTTATTATTTTGATTTTTCTTTCCTGTTCCTGAGTGTTCCTGTTCCTGTTTGTCATTGTATGCCTAAAACCAATCACCCTGATTTAATTTGGGCACCGTTGTCACCTCACCGAGAGCCATGCGTGTCACATTCTCTACATGTGATTTTTGTTTGTGACGATTAGCATTCGGGACCTAGTCCTGGGCACAGGAGTCACAGCTGTCTCTGGTTATCGTCAGCAGTAAGGCAGCTCTAGAAAAGAGACTCAAAGGCTTGAAAGAGGAGGTTGTTAAAGACCCAACCTTGGTTCAAACTTGTGCTTTCCACTGCTCTCATGTAACCAGAGAAACTTGCCAAATCGCTGCCTCAAAACCAGCTGTTTCCAAATGTGCAAAGTGTGTCTGCTCGTGCTGGAGCTTCAGACACCTCAGCGTCAGGTTGGGCTGTTGGTCTGTCGGACTGAGCCATGTCCCTCTGCATGTCGCCGTCTGTTGTATGACACTCTGCACTGTGGCTACTCTGTTGTCTCGTGTGGCAGCGCCGCTGCGTTTTGCTGCCCGACCTCCCGGCGCGATGGGCTTGCCAAAATCGCCTGCCCGTGGCGACCGGCGGCTTTCTGCCCAGGGTTGCTCAGAGCAGGCTC